TTTTTTTTTTATAATTAATTTGCCTTAAGTTTTTGAATTTTTTTTTTTTTTGGTGATTATAAAGACATTTTCATCCAAAATTTATAAAGAAAATATATATATATATATTTATATATATCTTTTTTTAAAAAGTAAATGTCAAAGAATACTTAATGTACAAGAATAGAGAGATTAATGAGTGTAAATGTAGATATAAGTATATAAAATCCAAAACAAAAGGCGAAAAATTACTTACAGAACTCGAATATAAATTCTGAAAATCTATCTATCTATAGGTATAATGAAAATGAAAGACAAGGATTTCTAGTGTTTAGTTTCAATCCAAGTAGATTTCCTATGTAATGCCATTTGCTTCTAAACATTAATAGCAATTGATTTTAGAAGAGTAAATTATTATTTAATCGCTTTGTTTTTTAATAAAATAATTAGTTATTTCCTTTGTTTTGACAAACCTAATATCAAGTCTCTATATTTTCATATTTGATTGTACCGTGGTCTTTTTGGTTGGTTTTTCATCACAATTATTATTATTATTATTATTATTATTATTATTATTATTATCTTTCATTTATAATCAAATTTCTAATTTTTATCTATTACAAATAAATTTAAAGTGTATTTAAAAATATTCATTCAGAAATGTAAAATAATAGTAATAAATAAATAAATGATAGTCAACTTTGGTTAGGGAACTAATTTTGCAAAATAAAGGGACTAACTTACAAAATTATAAAAAGATATATGGACTAAATTATAATTTCTCATTTTAAAATGGGTGCAATGAGGCTATACAAAGGTTTAAATTGTTTTGTAAATGTGAGTACAAGAATAAATATGATACCTAATTAAGAGGTTTTTGAAATTTCATATGCTTAAAAGAAATTAAAAGAGTTTGGGGTTTTGAACATTCATTTTCACTCTTCATCTCCTCATAAGTCATTGTTCATATACTATAGATAATAATGATATTTTTGTTATTTTTTAGTTTTTTTGGACATTATATTCAAAGTTTACATCATGTTTTATTTTGATCTATGAAATTTTAATTTCTTGGGTTGTTTCATCAGCTGGCCTACTACATTAGGCTGCTGCATTGGGCCTTAAGCAGGCCCAAAGCAAGCACATAGGCCTGTCTCTTTTTTTCCCACCAATTTATGTTTTTTTAATTATTAAATTAGATGTGAAAATTATGAAAAAAAATTACAATTTTTTTCTCTTTTTTAATTTTTTTCTTTGATTTTTTCACCAATTTTTTTTTTAATTATTGAATTGGATGTGAAAATTATGAACAACTAATTTTTTTTTCCACACAAATTGACGGTTATGAAATATATATGATAAATTTTTAGATTTTAGAATAAATATATATATTTGGTTATATTACCCTTATTGTTTAAAATTGATATTCATTTCTTATAAAAATTCTCATCAAATAAATTTTTTATTCTTTTTTTTATGTATTTTTATTTCTTAATAAATATGATATGTTTTCTCTTATGTATGGATTTTCGAATAAATATTATTTTTTATAGTTTTTTTTCTTATTTTTTATATAATCATTTTTTTATCAAAATCATTTTTTTTAAGTACATCCTGCTAACTTTAATATATTTTTTACAAATTATTTTTTTGTTTAAATTGATATATGTTGCACACTCTAACCTAATCAATACGTCAAGAGGTGTGCTCTGACACATGACAATCAAATTGTCTCATTCACCAAATGGCAGCAGAAGTCAGTAGTTTCTCACCTTTTCGATTCACGTGCCGCTTTGAATGAAGAAGACTGTTGGATGCGGCGACTGCACACATTCTTCCATCCTAAAAGAGTTGCCGACAAGCTACCAACCGGTCTTTATTCTTTTATTTTTTGGTGCTGATTTACAGTTTACAACTTTACAACACACCCTTTATTCATTCTAATAAATGGACACCGGGAGAGAGAGAGAGTAAAAAAAGAAGAAAAAGAAGAACGAACCATTTTGCAACTTTGCATCCTCTCACTCTCACTGATCCTACTCTCCCTCTCACTCAATAGTCACGGTGTCTTATGGGGGCAATAACCTAAGGTTCAAGTGCAGTGAACGTTGAAGCAAGCTACCAACCGGTCTTTATTCTTTTATTTTTTGGTGCTGATTTACAGTTTACAACACACCCTTTATTTATTCTAATAAATGGACACCGAGAGAGATAGAGAGGGAAAAAAAGAAGAAAAAGAATAAACCATTTTGCAACTTTGCATCCTCTCACTCTCACTCAACAGTCACAGTGTCTTAAGGGGGCAATAACCTAAGGTTCAAGTGCAGTGAACTTTGAAGCAAACTTTAATCGGTTTCAATCTGAAGGGTGCTTAGAAGGTAGGCATGCAATTTAGTAAATGTATGTATATGCTTTCATATTGTTTCCCAGCTTGCTTTCTTCTTTCCCTTTCCCTGTTTTTGCGCTATTATTGTCCATAATTTCATATTACTTGTTCTGCCTTTCCTTAGTTATTTCATCTCGGTTATACAAATATGGTCCTTCTACAGTGCTCATGAACAATGTTGTTCCTCTTTATTCTTCTTTCGTGGTTTAACCTTTTGTAGGATAGTAATTTGCCTCGTCCCGTCGCCATCCCGCCCCAAACGTAGTCAAGATTTTTCTTCTAACAGGGCACAGGATGGGGATGGAGCAAATTTTTTAGGATGAGGTTGAGATAGGAATGGTTATCACCGCCTTCGCCCCACCTTGTTTCATTTGAAACGGGAATGGTAATCAAAATTTCACTTCGAATAGGACATGGGACAAGAGCCCCGTCCCATTGCCATCCCTAATCTTCTGGGGTTCGACTAAATTACATTCATGGTCACTCATGTTTTACAAACATCTTGGTCAAATTAGCTCCTATAGTATACTACATCACTTGGCATAACAAGCCCTATAGATTACCTTTCAGGGGTTTGAAATAAAATAAAAATAAGACAAAAATTGTAGAAGAAAACGGAAAGTAAAGAATGTAAATATCATTTTTGCCTAAAAATTAAAAGTAGAAATATGGAAAGGGGCGATGAAGGAGACAACTATGAAGAGGAATCTACTGATACAAATCAAAGAAAGAATTGACTTTTGTTTGGAGATTATTATATAAGAGATTATCAAGTCTGTTGGGTTTTTATTTATAGTTGTGATGGTTTGTATCGTAACTTTTTCATCTTGAGAAAGAAAATAATTCATTAGATAAACCTATATATTTTAAGATATTTTTATCCAAAATAATTAATTTCCTTCGAAACTTTTTTTATATTTCTTCAAATTTCTTTTTTTAGAATTAATATATATATATATATTAGTTTGATTTAAGATCTATCAAACACATGACAAGATGTCATGCATTTGAGTTGACTAATAGAGATAAATATTCTCTAACGCAATTACTAATTGGACGTGGACAGTTGAACCACTTTTCTAACCCAATTTCGAATTGGACGTGGACATTGGAACCACTTTTCCAACATGCTTACCAATTGGACGTGGACCGTGGAACCAATGACCACGAATCGAAACTTTAGGGTTTGTTATGCCTAATTTCGTATTACAGGGGCTAATTTGACCAAAGTCTGAAACTTGAGGGACGATAATATTTTTGGGCCTTACGCTTCCTATTCTTGGTCATTCGGTTGCTTCCCTTGTTTTTGGTCTAGTCTTCATTAAAATTTTGCTTCCATAAAATGTTTAAAGAAAACAAAGAACAAGTTTATAGGCTGCAGTGGATGTTAGAAGTTAATAACAAATTGGAATTTGAGATCCAAAGCGTCTCTTTTTACTGTTCAGTTAATTTTCTGTATCTACCAGTCTGAGGAACGAAAAGAAGTTGGCAACCACCGGTCAGATCCAACTTTTCTCTTTTGAATTAGTAGTGGGGTCTGTCTTCTGTCTGCTGTCCCGAAGCAAATCTTGAGTTCTGACTACTTTCATAGGTTGGAAATATTAAATTATTTGAACAGAAAGAGCAGTCATTGTCAGAAAAAGAATAGTTACAGAAAGTGTTACGTGTAATGAGCGGCTAATACATGGCCAACGAGGAGGTGGGTGTAGAATTCGTAACTGCACCTATTCTATGATATTTTGCCTGCGTTTGCTGTGACTGTTCAAAGGCATGACTCAGGAGGACTCGATTATTTGGTTAATCGGAACAGGGGTTGTGTTAGTGGGCACACGTCTAGGAGGAGTCCGTTCATAAGAAACATAATTTATCATTAATTTCATATAAATGGTATAGTTTTGGTTAGGCAGCAAGAGTATTACATGATTACTACTCCTTTTATGTCAAAGAAATTATCTCTTTTTATTTTTATTAATTGTTATGCTATATCGATTTTTTTTTATTAATATTATTTTTGTTAAAATTGTTAGTTATCGAATATTATCATGAAATAAATATTATTAAGGTGGTAAATTTAAAGAAAATTACCTTAATTAAATTAGATTTTTTAAATTTTTATTTAAACATTTTTTTACAAAATAGATTTTAATTAGAAGTACTCTAAGAAAAACACACCACTTAAAATTTTAATAAAATAATTATTTTGGAATATATATAAATGAAAAAATAAACAACCTCTTTGAAATTCAAAGAGTAAATCTTATATAAAGTCCAAAAGTTCGATATGTTACTATATCTTTTCTTTTTTCTTTTGAGTGAAATGACTACTTCTTTTAATAATAATAAAAGAGCACTGCAAACAACCGGTTATGAAATCTAATAAAATTTGAGTTTATGACAGTAAAATTTGTTGATAGAAAACAAATGCTCATCAGTGTTGTGTGAATTTTGGAGGCAATTCACTTGATGATCATGTATATGAAGATTCTTGAGGTCATGATGAATGATCTATGGTCACATCTCAATTGCATATATGTATATTTCAAATTACTGTGTCCGATGCAAAGTTTATATTCCACAAGAAGCTTGAAAAGTCAGTAGTTTTAGCATTCTTTGTTGCAGAATCATGGACAATTCGATGGAAGAAAGGCTTCTTTTGCCGAAAGAACCTGACAGTGCCGACCTGAAGAATAGGGTTTGGGATGAGTCCAAGAAGCTATGGGCGATTGCATTTCCTGGAATAGTGGCACGAGTGACTTCATTTGGAATGATTGTTGTGACACAGTTATTCATAGGGCATCTTGGCGAATTGGATCTTGCAGCATTTGGCCTACAGCAGAGCATTTTGCTACGATTTGTAAATGGCATATTGGTTTGTCCTCCTCTCAACATTTTGTGTTCATTGGCACAAGTTATCGTTAAAAACAACTTACAACTTACAACTGCATCAATATTAGCACTGACTTTCACTTGAAAATACAACAGAGAGCGAGAGAGAGAGAGAGAGGTATTGGCCTCCTGTGGCCATGGAAATTAGGAATGAATCGATTTCTCTTTTCTCTTTTGCATGTCTTGCCACCAATCTGTTATTCCAAATCTATATAAGGTGAAAACAATTACTTCAATAATTGACTTACCCCGGTGTTTCTTTGACTCTCATGGAAGATTGGGATGTCAAGTGCGACTGAGACTTTATGCGGGCAAGCGTATGGAGCTGGACACTACCGCATGATGGGTATTTACTTGCAGCGATCATGGATCATTGATGGTGTAACTGCAACCATCTTGCTTCCCCTCTTCATTTTTGCAGCACCGATATTAAAACTAATTGGCCAGCAGGAGGATATAGCAATAGAAGCTGGAAAAATCTCTCTTTGGTCAATCCCTATCCTCTATTATATGGTCTTTTCTCTTACCATTCAAATGTACTTACAAGCACAACAGAAAAACCAGATTGTCGCGTGGTTGTCTGCTATCTCCTTTTCGGTTCATGTGTTTTTGTCCTGGTTATTCGTGGTCAAACTTGGTTTGGGACTTCCTGGTGCCATGAGTGCATTCATTATATCCGGTTGGGCGCTGGTTATTGCAGAGTTGGTGTACATTTTTGGAGGTTGGTGCCCCAATACATGGTGTGGGTTTACTAAAGCTGCATTTTCTGATATGTTGCCTTTAGCAAAGCTCTCAATATCCTCCGGAGTTATGATTTGGTAATTTTCAAGCTCGAACCCATCCACTGTTGTGTTGCTTTTTTTTTTTTTTTTTCCTCTTTTACATTTCTCGTATGGGAATATTTTAACAGGGCTAATTGTTACTTGATTCCTTGATGATGTTAAGCCCAAAAAATATGGAGCCAAATGTTTGATCATGATCAAGCACATATTAATTGCTATTATTTTATCTTCATCCCAAAAAAAAAAAAAAAATTGCTACCATATTTAGTTTACTAATTCTATATGGTACGTTTATTTTGATAACCACAACTTGCTTTCTAATTGTGTCTGTTTTAGCCTTACAGCTTAGAATTATGGTACAATTCTGTTCTTGTCCTGTTAGCTGGATATATGAAGAACGCAACAGTTGCATTATCTGCTTTCTCCATTTGGTAAGAATTTGTAATGCGAATTTCGATACAGTTGCTTGGCCCTGAAAGTCGTAACTATTACAAAGGAGATGGTTTATGCTAATTTCTTGTTGCAGCCTCAACATCAATGGATGGCAATTCATGATCTGCCTTGGGTTCTTAGGTTCTTCATGGTATTGCTTTAACCATTAAGAAATCTACTTATTTTCGTTTTTTCTATCCATATCTCCATTCTTGGAGCAACTGATCTGTATCATCAAACGCCATCCATGTGCATTTCGTACAGTGTGCGCGTATCAAATGAATTGGGAAGGGGCAATGCCCAAGCTGCAAAATTTGCTATCAAGGTTGTCCTTGCTACTTCAGCAATTATAGGAATTATCTTCTGGATTTTGTGCTTGGTCTTCAGTCGACAAATGGCATACTTGTTTACGAGTAATGAGGAAATAGCAGAAACTGTGTCAAGGCTACATGTTTTGCTTGCATTCTCAATGTTGCTGAATGGAATTTATCCAGTACTTTCAGGTCAGTATTTCGTTCTAATTATATTATTATGTGCAAATACGATATAGGAACATTTTCTGGTCCGTATATTTGTTGCATAGTTTTTAATTAGTCTAAAATGGCTTAGAATTTATTTTCTGCAATTATACGATTAATCACGTGTAGTGATAAACGAAAGCCATAAATGTCCGATAGTAAATCCCAACCATCAATATTCCTTCTGCAGGTGTAGCTGTAGGTGCCGGTGTGCAAAGTACGGTTGCATATATCAACTTGGGAAGCTATTATGTGATTGGGGTACCTATAGGAATTCTGCTTGGATATGTAGCACATCTTCAGGTCACGGTATGTAAAAAGAATATTGTCAAGACATAAAAGATTTACTGCATAACATGCAAATTACGAATGGAGAATCAAGCTGGAGCCATTGAATTTGATGGTCTAGTATTGATCTATTCACTCTTCGCTTATCGGCCAACCGGCTATAAGCAACCTTGGTGTTTCCTCGTTGCTTTATGACTAGTGATTTGATTTGGTTAAAATTCAACTTCGTAGAGGGTGCGCTTTTATTCACAATAGTTTCTTCTGTGCTCTTACAGGGTTTGTGGATTGGATTGTTGAGTGGAGTCGGAGTCCAAACACTTCTACTATCCTACCTTACATGGAGGACTAACTGGGATGAGCAGGTTTGAAAAGAAATCATGAAATTCTAAAAGTTGTAGTCAACTCAGAGTTATACCACTATAAGCAAACAATGCTTGTTTCCAATAATGCTGATGCAGGTAAACAAGGCAGCAGACCGTCTTGGTCAATTTTTCATTGAGCCTTCAAAGGAATCTGATGAGAGCTCTAATCTTCCTTGAAAGTAATGGACACTAGCTACTTGCTGTTGCGTTTTCAAACCAGATTTCGAGATGGAAAGATGCGTCTGGTTCCTTAGACCAGATCAAGTGGTTCAAATAAGTCATTCCTTTCATCGACTCTAAATGCAACTTGTTATTAGAGCTCGCTTTAACAAGGTGGTTTTGCTTTCCTCTCTGTGACAATAATTACGTTGCAATTTGATCAGTGCTCTCCTTGGGCTGGTGGTGGCTTGGATTTATTCTCCTTTAGGCCCCTCTTCTTTCTAGTTTATTCATCTTCTATTTGGCTTCCATAGAAGTTCTTTTCTATCTTTAGTATCCATAAGAAAGGAAAAGGTTCATCCTGCCACTTTTTCGGTGCTTTTTCACGCAGGAAAGACACTCGCAGGGTATGAAGCGAAAACTGATTTATCTGGTACAATAAGTATCTTTTAAAAATATATAACGAGCATGGTATGAGTGAAAAAAAAAATTACTTATTTATTAATATGACTTTTGGGCATCAATGTTCACTTTATACCTGAGAAATTTTATAATACACAAAAAGTAACTAATGGTATATACAATAGTTACTCCTTGGGCATACTCGAGGATAGAGATGAGAAATTTTATAATACACAAGGAGTAACTAGTGGCATGTACAGTAGTTACTCATTGGGTTCATTTTTAGGATAGAGATAGACACACGAAAAGAGAAAAAAAATAGAAGAAAGAAAATAAAAAAATTTGAACGAACGTAGAAATCTTCTTATCATTTTTTGGTGGGTATGGATGTAATTTTTCTCTTTTTTATGTGTCTATCTCTCTCCTCAAAGTAAAACAAATGAGTAATTACTGTACATGTCACTAGTTATCGATTGTGTATTATAAAATTTTTCCTTTATACCCTGTTAATATCAATTATTTTTTAAAAAAAAAACTTAAAAGCAAGGATCTTTTGCACAAAATTTATAAAGTATGGACCAAAATATTTTGATAAAAACGAGAAAAAAACTTGAAAATAAAGAACCAATTTGTAAAAAATATATTAATTTTAAGGACTAAAAATTATTGTCATTATTATTTTTTATCGAGGACAGTGCGTCACGAAACATAAAATAAAAAATCCCCGCAATGATTGCCGGGCGAACCAAGGATGGCGTCGCAAATTATAAAATAAAAAATCGCCCCAACCAGTGGGAGGCGAACCCAGGACGGCATCGTAAATAAGAAAATAAAAAAAATACTTGCAATGAATGGGAGGCAAATCAAGAACGATGTTGTAAATCATAAAATAAAAAATTTTGAAACGTGTGGAAGGCGAACCGAGGAAGATGTTCCCAATCATAAAATCAAAAATTCCTGCAGCAAGTGGGAGGTGATTTGAGGATGGTATCGCAAATCACAAAATCAAAAATTCCCGCAACGAGTGGAAGGGGATCTGAGGACTACGTCGCAAATCATAAAATAAAAAATCTCCCCAATGAGTAGGAGCGAAACAAGGATGATATTGCAAACCACAAAATCATGAAAGATATTATTAAATTTATTATTTATTTTGTTATTTTTATCAATTTTTTATTTAAAATTATGAATAAATTCTTATATTTAATCGCTATTTAGTCACTAACTTAATATATGATGATGTGTTGATAATTTATAATAAAAAATTTAATAAAAATGATAAAATATTTAATAAATTTAGTAATATCTAATCATAAAATCTTCGCAATGAGCGCGGAGCGAAAAATGACATTGCAAATCACAAAATCAAAAAATTTTGCAACGAGCGGCAGGCGAACCGAGGGTGTTATCGCAAGCCATAAAATAAAAAATCTCTACTTGACGATGAATAGAGCATACCGACAAAGGCATTGCAAATCATTTTGAAATCATGCTCTAAGTTTACTACCATCCCACATGAACAGATGTCACTTTATTCAAGAGTCTTTCTCAAGTTTTTTTTTTTTCAAAAATAATTCAAGAATCTCAATTCATCCAATTATTGATCAAACAATTACAAGCATTAAGAATAGAATAAAGTAAATAATGCATAAAGTAATAATCATAGTCAAGAATCAAGAAATTAAGCAAGTTTCATGTTTTAGATCCATTACGGCACTAGAAAAAATAATTAGATCATGCTCAATATATTGAAAACTAACATCTTATTCATGAACATAAAATAGAATCAAATAAAAATTGAAATAAAAACATTAAAGACACTTATGATTCTCGAAAATTCAACAGAAATTCTAAGAATTTGGCAATATTAAAACTCCTTGTTGCATCCAAAACCTTTTCTATCAGAAACCTTTTTGTTGCCAACTGTTTTTTCTAGGGTTAAATACACATATGCTCCTGTACTACTTAATAATATTTATTTTAATCTTTTTTACCCAAATATGATGTATAACAAATCTTATTCTATTAGACGTTGGTACAAATTAATCCTTATGTTAAGTCTTTATATCGGATTGATTAAGTTTTATCGATTGATTAACGTTTGACCATTCATGTGGTGACAAATGTCATCTAGAAGATAAGAATATAATTTTCTATTTAAAATAAGTTTTTTCTTTCAAATTTATACTAACTTAAAATAATTAATAATTATTAGAAAATAATTAAAAAATGGAAAAACATCAAATCGATTTTTTTTTAAATAATTTTTTTTAACTTAACAAAAATTTTTAAAAAAAAATTAGTAAAATTTGAAATTAGTTTTTAAAAATAATTTATAAAACAAGTTTTAAAAATAATTTATTTTAATTCAATAAATTTAAAAATACATTTTCATTACTTTATATTCATAAATTTATTTTAACTTAATAAATTATAAGAATACATTTCAACTTAATCAAAATTTGGGGGAAAAAAACTTATTAATATTTTTTAATTTTTTATAATGCTTGTTAAATATTTAAGTTAAAAAAATTAATTATAATTCAAAATTTTACTAAATTTTCAATGTCAATATTAATTAACAAATTAAAATATTATAATCAAAATTTATGTAATTAATTTAATAATAAATTCAACTACCTAATTAATAAAAATAACTATATTTAAATTAACCCTAATTCAAACCAATTAGATATTAAATATAATTAATTATAATCAATTGAACTATAATTAATGTTAAAAATCAATCAATTCAAATAATCATAATTAAATTAATCCTAAATCAAATTAACTTAATTATATTAATGCTAACTAATTACAATATTAATCCTAATTGAAATATTAATTATATTTTAAAATAATCACAAACAAATTAACAATAAAAAAACAACAAATTAACAAAATTTTAACCTACTAATTAATAAAATTAATAGAATAACTAACAATATTAATCTGATTTAAAAAAAATAAAAGATCTAGAGGGATAACAAATTACCAAAGGAAAGGAGGGAGAAGAGAGATTGCCGATGGATTTTGAGGAGAAAGTTGCGCCTGTTGAATTGAGTGGGTCGGGGAGGGAGAAGGGTGGTGTAGGCGGTGGTTAGGGGCTGTTAGGGGTGGCGTCGGTAGTGGAGGAGAGGATGAGGAGAGGGAAATGAGAGAACGAGAAAGAGTCCGAAAGTTAAAGAGGTTTAGGATTTGCAACGGACGCGTTTTCGTTGCTAATTAGCTACGAAAATAAGTGTTCATCGTTAATTTGAATTTCAACCGTCCGCTCGAATTGTCCAAAAGGATTGAGATGTTTACCTAAATTTGCGACGGACACCTATTTCTATCGCTATTTTGTCGTTAATTAGCAACGAAATAGTCGTATTCGTCGCTACTTTGAATTTTCTACTCCTCGCTAATTTTTTTTACAAATTTTGCACGATTATTGACGGCATATTGTCCCTTGCTAATTAGCGATGAACAACGACGGATAATCTCTATCACTTGGTCGGTGTTGCGTTTAGCTATGGAATTTGTATTCTCTCACTAAAGTTTCTCGCCGATCTATCGTGCCACGCTTTATAGTGACGAAAAATTTTTCATCTTTAATTTTGTCTCAAAACCATATTTGATCCGTCGTTAAATTTTTTATTTTCAATTGCGTCGCTATTCGATCGCTATTAAGTAGGTAAATAGCAATAGGAATGAATTCATCACTAATTACCTATATTCATGCATTGAAAATGCTCTCTCTTATTGACAACACCAATTTTTGTTCAACAATTCCTTGAGTATTTAATCAATCATGACAAGAGATAGGTTTCTATTAATTTCTGTTGCATTTGTAAACATTTTATAAAAAAATATTTTTTATAATTTATAAAATTAGCTTAATTATGCTCATTTTAATTTATAAAATGTTTTTTTTTAAAGGCCTGAAATTGTGTATTGTTAATTATATTTTTTTCCCAATATTTCGGGTTCATACAACCCCATGTGATTGGTTTATTAATTATAAGATACACGTAGATGCTTATCTTATGAAGATTTCATGAGCCGCCAGAGTTGAAAATCATTTTATTTTGGTTTTGAACATGTTTTTTAGAGAATTACTAGAATTTTATGGTTTCCAGAGTCAAGAAATAAATAATGAAATGCAAATGAATTAGACCATATATAGTTTTACTGCCAAACCTTTTTCTTATCTACCCGGTCAAACTGTAGCAAAAATTATGATACAGAGGGCAGTGTAGTTGATTATTTAAAGTATCGAATTTCACACATCCCAAGGTTCTTATAGTTCCGTAAAAAAAAAAAAAATGAATGCTCTTAAATCTAACTAATTATTATATTTCTATATATGTCTCCACTCCAATTTTCATGGAGTAGAAATTCAAATTCCAATCACAATTAATCACCATCTTTGTGCTTTAAATTATCAAAATAACGCTACAATAACCAAGTTGTTGATTAGTAGTAATTAATTTGAAAAAACCGTAGTGATATTTCCAAGAGATATCCAACTATTATTCAGTACGAGATTCAACAATCCACTACTACTAGCACTTGTTTTTTTTTTAAACTGCCGCCAGCGCATTGTATAATGACGTTTCTATCAACTAAGATAT